TGGATTTTCTGACCTTGGGCGAGGATGGCTGGGAGGAAGGCGGCGAGGCAGAGGAGGTGTCGGAGCATGGCGAGGCAGAGGAGGTGCCGGAGCACGGCGACCCGCCACACCAGTGCAACCCGGATCGCCCTTCAGTTCTCCCTCGTGATGGCGCCATCCTCTCCAGTCGATCACAAATGGTTCCCTTCCCACCAGAACCTCGTCACCTGATGCTAGCCCACCGCCGACGTGTTCTCCATTCTTTCGACATTTTTCTGAACGTGTACAGGCCAAGATGAACGAAATTATTTACGAACGCACCGCTCTGAACTCTCTCCAAGGCCAAAAACTCACGCCGTCTTACTCAATGCAATGTTGCGTTAAAGGACTCGGGCAAAATAGTAATGTTAAAGGTCGCAGAATTTAGCACAATTTACCAGAGTTTAAGCATTCGGTAGACCCGCATGGATGTGAATTCGCGAGATTGAAAATAAACAACCGCGAAATCATGAGCTCATTCGGGGATTTTCTAAAATTGGCTGAACAGAGCAGAACGCGCGGAGAAATGCCTACGTTAAAGTGCGATGCGAAAAGATAGCCAACACTCTCGCCGACACTCTCGCCGACACCCTCGGTTTCGATTCTCTTGGGGGGATACAGACCGACGAGGACGAGTTTCCCTATCGGGGGAAAAAAAAAAATAGATCGCCTTAGTAGCGTTATTCCGCGTTCTCATGCTGTCTCAAGCTGATGATCGTAGTCACACATTTCATTTCTATTAATTAAATTTTTAAAGGGTAAGGCAGAAAAAGATCCATCCAGAATGTGTGGTAAATGGTATGCTGCATTTTAATGCATGTTTTTACTGGTTCTCCCTGCGACCAAACTCCAAAATTCGATACTCATTGCTCCAGCAGCCGTTACTAAAATAAAACTCATAATAACTTTATCCTGACCAAAGGAGAGAAATTAACCCGTTCTTGCTGAAATTTTTGCTGAAATTCTTGCTACTATTCTTGCTGAAATTCTTGTTGGTTTTCGCTGCCTGATCGTGTCGATATTCCTATTTAAATTCTCATTTGTCTCCTTTCAATCTGCTTAATTGTTCGTAGCGTTTCAGCCAAGGATTTAAAAGAAGCTTTGCATAGAGGCTGGGAACGTGTTCGTGCCAAATGCATCGAGTTGAGTCGCTGTGCAAGGCTTCGATTGTGTTTCCTGCTGTATCACGGATCGGTGGGAGAAAAATTATATTTTATTCTTCAGCTTTGAATAAGGGCGAGGATTTTCTCGATGCAAGGGAGAAATTAGCACTTTTTTCGGCTCCTAGACCTCCTGCAAAACCTTAACACCCCCACCAAGGGTGCATTCAAAGATGGTGTCACCGAATGCGTTGCCCCATTCGCCATTTTCATCGTATCGCCAGGAGCCTTGGTAGACGATGGCATCGTCGTTACCGTCGATGGTCACTCCGAACGTCTCGTAGACCACACCACTATTGGAATCGCCATTCACAGCAAATGCAGATCCAAAAAGCCTTTCTTCGGCAGCTGCATACAGAAAGCGAAGATAAGGATCGCATCTCAGAGACGAAAAAAAAAAAACGAGAAGAAAAAAGACTCACTGCCTGAACCGAGAATGGTGAGATCTTGCAGTCGCGCACCTGCTCTGAGACCGGTGAGATCGAACTCACCAGTCGGGTCCACGCACTCACTGAAATCGATTTCAACCCACAACTTCTCTCCATCCAGTTCCGCCTGGACTATCGCTGCAAAACTCGTCAACTCCGTCCTGCATTCACGAACGAGAAACGGTCTGGAATGACGCCATCGCGTCCCTCAAACGACGCCAGATGGACCGGTCACCGGTCCATCTGACGTCCATCTGACGTCAGATGGACTCACCCGTCGTAGGGAGCCGCGATGAACCAGACACCTGATCCGAGGGGGCACGAAAGCGTGACTACATCTGGGATGTCGCCAGGGTCGACTGGGTTGAACGTAGTGCCACGGACGTATAATGTTTCGTCGATGGCCAAGTAGAATGCTTGCACGAGTAAGTCTCCCGTGACTACGATGAATAGAAAAAACCATTGAAGTATGAAAAGGGATGATATTAAATTTTGACACATAAAAGGAAATATTAATACCATCGGGGATGGATTGAGTGAAATGGATGCCTGGCATTTCTCCGGTTTCCCATCGAATCCAAGACATCACATGGACTCCAGCAGCCTGAGTACGAAAAGTGCGATTTTCAATATCTGCATCGCTCATATAAATAATACACAAAGGCTTTAGTCTTAGGCATTTTTATACTAAAGTGTTGAAGGAAATAAAATCCACGTGGGTGTTCCTGGTGTGGACTTCAGGAAATGAAATCCTGCCGAGCGAAATATATTATATTATATATATATTATCTGGAACCCCCACGCGGGTTTTCTACCCATGTGCTACAGTGAAAACAAAGGCTCCAAGACATTGCCAAGCGTAAAAAAATAACGCTGAAAATTTCCTCCGCAAATATGTAACATGCATAATTATTATCATTCAAGTCGCCGACATTGCACTGGGCGGGAAAATACCAGAATCTCCGGGTAAGTGCCATTCATTTCGCACGCGCGGGCATTCACAAGAGCAAGGAGATCCTTCCCGGCCGAAACGGCAGCATCCACGTCCGCATACGTCGCGTACGACGCGAATTCGCCGCCTGCAGGTCGGAAGAGAAGGAAATGCTCTTAAATGTTCTTGGAAGAAGTGTAATAATAACTTATATAAAACAGTTTTAAAGGTGAATCGTGGCGATGCGCTTAATAGACCTTACTGCTATTTAAATAATACATTAAAAAATGAACTGACAATTCTGTGTCGATGAATATTGATTCAAATAATTTGAGAGGAAATTTTTTGAGTTTGTGAGGAAATCTCCTCCCACTTTTGAGCTATATTTTGATTTTAAATCCTGCCGTGAAAGCATGACCGTCGACAGTGGCCATATTCAACTGTATTATGTGAATGATTATTGATACGAATAAAATTTCCATGCCTGTTAATGCGGGAATGATATATTTCTGTTGTAAATGGCACTTATATGGACCGTAACTCAAACAAAAATGGTAACTTATGATATAATACATGAGGACAATTTTTACTCTTCTGAACGAGATGAACTCCAGATTTCAAATTCCACTGAAAAGTTCCTTTCATTGGACAATTTCAAGAATGAAATTCGCTTAATTACTAATAACAGTCTCGATAACAATATATCGTCGACGTCAACATGATGTTTTACGAAGGACAATAGATATCTTCGTTTGAAAAATCCCCTCTGAGTCATTAATCCTGGAAATTTCGTTTTAAAAAAAATTAAAATCTTCCGAAGTATGGTCTTATGGTCATGTAGAATTGTTATCGGAAGAACCCTGCTCCTTAACACCTCAAAATGCAACGAATACCATCTAATGAAACAAAATCCCATACCGCGCCTTCAGTTGCCGTGACTCGTATCGAGTCACAGAAACCTGGAGATGAAGAAAGAAGACTGTCCCGAAGAGCAAGACCGCAAGAATCGGCAAGACATTGAAGTCACAGGTGGATGCACTACCTACCTGAGGCATAGTAAAAGGTGAGGGATTCCCCGAGGACGCACTGGAATCCGTCCGGATAAGGATATTCATCCTCCCAGGTTTGCGTGTTGTACGAATGGCCGCTGAGGTGGGCAGTCCCGTCCACGTTGATGATGGCCCTGGTCACCGTGTAGACGGTCTGACCCTCGACGTTGCTGAGAGACAGGCCCGGCCATTCCACAAAGAGCATCGTTTCTCCAGCATCTACACATATACAATGGAAGAGTTCCCCCGTTTCTTCGTCTTCCCCGTGATTGTACGAGGAGGTATTCAAAAGTCCTGCTACTGAATTCATTTCTGTGAAATTTTCTGTCGGTCGACCGGTTTGCTCATGACTCTACAATCACCAGCAAAATGATCAAAAGTAAGGCGAAGCTCAAACAACGCGCCGTATTCGAATTCCTCTGGTGCGACAGAGAGAGAAATCGGGTTAAAAACATGAACGCATCTTGCTGATTTGTCATTCTGCAGAGATTTGCATGTCCATTCAAACGGAAGCGACCAGCGAAGAACACCAAAGACATTATGCAACGACATGATAGCGCCCGACCAGAAGTGCATCGAAAGTGACCAATGGCGCCCCACCATCCCCCACCTCTCTGGACATTGTAGTTTCCACGAATCGCATACAGTGACATTGCTTTTTTTACCACTCCCTCGAAAATCGGAAGAAAGCGGCACCACAAACCTTGAAGGACGTAGTACTGAAACTCAGCGGATCCGCCCTCGGCGATAGTCACCTCTGGCGGAAGAGGATGCTCACAGCCAATCACGTTTGCCACAACCGTCAGCTGACCTCTTTCCATCATTACCGTCCTCAAATCATCGAACGATGTAATCGCAGTGCTGAGAGGAAAAACACTCAAATAACATGAACTGTTCTTTTTCCTGTCCTTCATCGTTGAATCCTCACGGATGAGATTCCAGGCTTCAGAAGGAGACAAGTGCAATATCTTACTCGAGATTATATCTTCAAAATGCTTATGCTTGAACATTTATTGAACTTTCCCTGGTCCACTTCCCTCAGTCATCCTCAACGCTGTCTAAGAATATTGCAAATATTTGGCACGGGCTGCAGGTCTCTTGTCCACTTTTGCAGGTGGTCCTCGAGGTCGGCACCAACACGATTTACTTAGTCCATGAAGGAAAAGAGTCTGGTCAACGTAGAAGCTTCGAATAGGGCGAATCATATTTCTACATAAGTACGGTGTTAACCTCATCAATGAATCATTAACAAGAATAACTAGGGTACAGCCTAGGTACAGATTGCACATTCCACTGGTCCTATACATCTGGAAATAAATATATCTAAAAATAACCTAAACTACATCCCTTCGCCGCATCCTAACCATCAAAAAAACGAAAACAATAGCTGCGATCCGTAGATAGAATTGTGATCCGTGAATAGTCCCACGCAATTGGACAGCGTCCTACATTTTTTGGCGCGTCGCATGGAAATGGGAGGTAAGCACGAGGGTTGATCGGAAAAAAATGTTTACAAGGTCTATTACAGAAGAACCACGAGGTGGGCAGCATAGGCGTGCGATTAGTGATATTAGCGGTTTCACACTTAGCAAAAATGCGCGAGGTGTCACTTGTACCTCTCGTGTCAGGTGAGCAGTGCAGTCGTGAAATGGCGATGTGCTTTCAAAATTGGTCCCGCGATGAAATTCCAGGTACCTTCCATTTTTTTGTGTGTCGGTATGTCGACCGGACAACCGCATGGTACAGACAATTAGTGGGCGAACGAGTGTCGACAGTCGACAAGAACAAGGAGAGCAGTGGTAGCCCATGCGATTCGTCAACAAAAGACAACGCAATTCGTATTCACTGACTAATTCCGGAAGACTGATTAAGATGATGGGTACTATGCAACTCTGCAGCACCAGCTTGAAGCAATCCGGCGAAGAAGGTCAGGATGTCTATCACAACAGGGGGTATCTGTTCCATGGTAACGCTCGTCCCCACGTGACGCGGCTGCTGCAGAATATGGGGGGCGGGGGGGCGGGGGGGGAGGTCCTTCAGCGCCCACCCTACAGCTCTGATCTGTCATCTGCAATTTCCATCTTCTTCCGTTCATGAAAAAGCGTCTCGGTGGTTGCCATTTTTGGTCGGATGTTGAGGTGGTGAAAGAGGTTCAAAAATGACCGTCTGCACAAGACATGAAATTATACTCTGGCACCAATGAATATCGTATACCTCGGTGGAACAAATGCTCACTCATATGCTCAGAGCCATTCCACGGGTTGGCTGACCCGAAACACCTCCATATTCAGGCATCTCCACGTGTTAATGGATGTTTTAGTTCACTTCCTTCAGATTCCTCCCCGCCTTGACTCTCTACTGATACACTGGACGTTGCGCGGTCATAGGCTGGCATACGTTACAGGTTGCAATAAATACAAACACTTTGGACGCTGGTTGTAAATTTCTTTTTTTCCGATCATCCCTCGTATGAAGCATCACATGCCAGATGTGACATTCCACGAGGACGCCACGCAATTTCGTCTACGCTACCACGAGCAGCTACTCTCTCCGTTTAGTTACAATGGATCCACCATCCGACGGCTGCCAGGGAAGTGGAAATTTTAGCCGTCGACTGGCACCCTGGCGGAAGGCTGTACATGCATACTGAATCGAGTGGTCCGGTTGTTATAGAAACTGCGGAGAAGGGCAATGAAAAAATGCGACAGACCAGTCACAACATCTGTCCACGATACACTTTTCTCCTACTACGTAGAGGAATGTCAGACTTAAAAAGTGACACCATTGAATTCTATATCTACCAATTTTCTGTGGACCCCTATCGGTATGTCAGGTACATATCTTATATTGGCATAACTTCTACTTGTCCTATACATATCCGAATATAGAATTTTCCACTATAAGGATTTTAACTGTCCAACAATACTGATATTAAAAGAATGGCGTGATAGGAGACGAAATGGAGGGACATCGATCAAGAAGGCTCTTATATCCGCTAAGAACAAATACGGAGGAACTTACTCAGGTTGGTGGTTTCCTTTCTCGTGAAAGGTAGCTCCTATTAAAGCTGTGCAAAATGCGAAGTAGTTGTTGAGGACGAGACCGGTATCGCCAGAAATCTCGTAGACATCGAGAAGGGCAACACTGCCTCTATCCACGTACGTATTGACCAGGATGAACGTTCCATCAGCTGCAATTCCAAAGCCGCCCAGCTGCATCAATTTCCTCGTTAACCAAAGATAATGCCAATTGAGTGATCGAGAGTCTTACGGGTCATGAAAGATTGAAAGGCAGTGACAAACTCAGGGTCCTCGCCCCTCTGCACGTGTTCCCAATGATCGAGAAACAGAGACACTGTCTGTGTGGGACACCAATGTGAGAATAAGCGTCACTTCAAAAATTATGTTAAATATTGTTTAACAGTTAACTGCAGAAAAAAGAAGAAACATAAATTGCAAATTAACCCACCACTCATTTCTTCTGATTGTGATAACATTTGGTGCAAAGAGCTCTTCAAACCTAAAGTTTTAGGCGATGGAATCTTTAGGCTAAGGTCTATGGGGGGGAGATTATATTTTTTTCGTCTTCAACTGACCTCCGAACTTTATTGGCCAATAATTCTAGAGATCTATAAGCTAAAACTCTGAATAAGGTGACAATTTACTGGAAACGTCAAGAACATTTATACATCTGCAGAACAATGCCACTATAGCAAACATACGAAAAATTTTCCAAAAGTAAAGCAATCAATTTTTAGCTGGAGAAGAAACCTAAATATAAATTGTAAGAAATCATGAAGCAGTTGAATGTCTTCCCGATCAATGTAATATCACAACTACAAATGTTTTTTTTTTCATGTACAGAACATTTTTGAATCAGCACGACAATGCTTCAATCACATAATTGCACTAACATACAGTATAAATTGTAATACCCCAGATGAAAGTGAGAAAGCTCCATCACAAAGGAGTACAAAGGAACTTGGATGCTAAGTGAGTTGACTCATGAAATTATGCTAAGAATAACAAAATTTAGAAAATTAACCTTCCAACTCCTGATGGTTAGGGAAAGGATGTTTCCTGGATTGTTCAAGGAAATTGGTTTTCCCAAATGCGGAAAACTCATTTAAAAGCTTAAGAGCTTCTCTCCCCCATGAAAGCCCATGCATTCTTGAATGACCGTTAAGTAAAGGAGATTTCAACATTCCGGTCTTAAACCTGAAAGATACACTTTATTGTGTTGCCCATTTGGATAACTTTTTCCCTTTCCAATAGGAGCCCGACCTTTGGGATCTGCCTTAATGGAAATATCAGGAAACTGCTGAGTGGGAGATGACATTATCTGGAAGCAAGCAGGGTTTCCTTTCCATTTGGAAAGTGATTTCAAGGATAAATTACAGAAGTAGTCATTAGGACGGTACGTAAAATAATTTGGAATTCGGCACCACATCCATAATAAAGGAGCCATATCATGAGTTATGGCACATTCTTGATTTTTTGAAGGCAAAGACCTAAATTCTGTTAATGAAATCTCAGACTGGAATCGGTACTGCGAGGGGAGCAAGAAAATATTCCCCGTTGGAGAGGAAACAAGAAAGCAAAAGAGGAGACGAGCCAAGGTCAAGGAACTCCTGACATTTACAACTTTTTATTCTTTCATTCTCATTTTTCTGCGGCATTATCGGCAGGTTTTGAACGAAACAGTGATATCGTCTGAGATTGTCCTTGAACCCTTAGGGCTATTCAATATCAACTGGATCATTTTTCTCACTATTTGTGACTCACCATCTCCGATTTTCTTGAAAAAAAACTGTCACGAAGTATCGCTTCAAGCATGGGTATCATAATTCATTCAAATAATTCAAATATATGCAGGATCAGAGCGATCGGGGATAAAGCACTTGCTAATTTTGGCACCGCAGTAAATCTCCTTGTATATTACTTAATAGCATATGGAATCAAATTCGCCGAAATTGAGCTAGGTAGGTGTTCAATTCATCCACCACGTTAAGTTTGATAAAATTGACATTTTAACAAGTTTGAGTTTTCTATTTCCTCCAGAGAAACGGTTTCCATTCTTACATTACAAAAAGGTACTGTATGAGGGAAATATTCAGAAGGGAAAGGAGTATGCCAATATAATGTTATTTTTGCCCTTAAACAGAATTCATTGAATCATATAACATTTGAAAGGGTGTCCTTTGCAGAGTAATAAAATGCCACTTTTACTCTAATCTGAAGGGTTTGAAAAAGTTAGGTTAGGCTAAGTTAGGTTTGGTTAGGTTAGGGTAGGGTATATGAGGATCAACTTATTTTTCATGAGTTTTTTCATCAGAACACATACTTTTAACATTTTGAGGCGTGGGAATTGCAGACTACCAAGAAAAAAGTATTATCAATACAAGTGAATTGTATTTTGTGAAATCTTACAGTATATCGAAGCATCATTTGCTTTAATATCATGGATCATACATACTATCATTATTGCTAGATTTTCCAATTACGAGGTGAAATTCGCCTTCCTTTCGAGGTCAAAGGTGAGAACCTTCTTCATCCCCTCTTTCCCCAAAACCCTTGCCCTTTGAGGAATGAAACTCGTGCGAAAAATGTTTTTCATTCCTTCCTATTGAAAACACTCGACGAGGAAAACCATGCTTGGAGGTATTTCTTTTCAAAATGCATTTGCAGAACTCTTTCTCAAATGAAGCTGCATTTTCCTTTCTGAAAATTTAGTATGGATAATGCATTATCGCCCTAACGTTATTCCAAAGCATCATGCTTAGATGGAATCTGTCAATAGGAGTTTAAGTGCTAGAATATGTCAATTATGGCATGTTGCAACCTTCTCCATTGTACCAAAATGAATATTTTCCAATCCAAACCCAAGAAACTGCATAAAGTTTTGCTTTGCAGAAGTAAAGGGTGCCCCATCGTTTTTACGTTTAGGCGTTTCTTGGAAATCTAATTCATGGAGGAGGGGTGGAGTGAAAGATTGTTTCCCTACGAGTTGCCTCCCGGAGTTTTTCCATCATGCATTACGTTTTTGTAACATTACTGTAATAACCATTTCGTTGAAAGGGGAAAAAATATTTTAAAATACCCTTCCCCCCAAAAAGTGCCCTGGGGTTCCCCCCCAAATAGAATTTTCTCGAATCAATCCGCCAGTCCCTAAATTTGGTAGCTCATACTCTATTCCGTAACTTATATAAATATAAAGTGTCAACTATACCAGTATGAACAACAGCGGGACTCATGGACTTTTGGGCAGCAAAGTCTTGACATGATTGGCCCGTGCGTCCCTCTGTGAGTGGTGTTCACAATATAAAACCATCTTTCTTTCTTTTTTAATTGTACAGTAGTGTAAAAACTAGCAAGTGCTAGTCTTTTATCTCATATCGTTCCGATCCTACATCAATGAAATCGATATTCATCCTTGGAACCATCATATCTTACATGATACTAATTTTTAAAAATCAGATGCGATCAGGCATACATCTTGGTTAAATTGACTCGGAATGGCACCCAGTGTAAAAATCCTTCCACAACTTCCGCTGATACTTGAAACAATTCAAAGCTGTAAAACGTATTTAAATAAATTAACCATTGATACTTGCTTTGGTACGAGCACTTTTCAGCGATACTTGCAATCACCCGTTCATATATTCATCTCTGATCTCTCAAGATTTCTGCAACTATTCACCCAACCACATTTACTTCCAAAGTGCGAACAGTGTTTCTGACTTTCTCTTGCATGTAGAGAAAAAACAAATGAGATTACGTTTTGGAGCTTCCTCTAAAGTTTCATAACATGTTTAACTTTTTCTTATTCGAGAATGATTATGCAGAAACAGATCATATAAATAGGCTCGCACTCCCATCAATCAAGCATAATGTTTCAGGCGAGTTTTGAAGAGACACATACAGGATGTCATTCGAAACTCACGAAGGGTTCGGAAAAGTTGGTCTGCTCGCACAACAAGCTGTCGAACGTGGCAGAAACGCTCCTGCCAGCCTGCAGAGCTTCGATGAGTTGGTCCATGGAGTCCAGGGATCTTCCTCCTGTCATGCAGAGACGCAAATCGCATATTGAGTTAGTATGACATCAATGAATGGAATGTTTAGAAATAACTCAATTTCCCCCTCTGCCATGCCTTAGGCCCCCGAGGACCAACATTAATGTGACGTATTTCAGCGCATACTACATATATTTTTTCTAAGCTAGTAGGCCTATACCAGACAACACAAAGCGGTTTTTTTCTTGTTGATCTTGGATAATATGGAAATTAAATAATAGAAGCGCTGGGAATATCATTTATGTAATCCATCTTAGTATTGTACATTGGTAACTTTTTTTAAGGCCCGTATCGTCCCACTTCATAAACAGTTTTCATCATTAATGTAATGGGGTTGGCACCAGCAAACATATGTAGACGCCTTACTCCTAGCCGTAAAGACATTTTCCTCTACCTCTCTATCAAAATTTGAATGAACTATAACGAAGTGGCGCGATGAAGTACAGCAGAACTCTTGTCCATGAAGTGTCATTCATGCTGGTGTTGACTGTACCCCTTAAACTCTTCAAGCAAGACCGATCTCTTACTCCAGGGCGAACTCTATAAAAGTTCGCCCTCAAGTAAGAAAACGGTCCTATCGTTTGGATATTTGCAGATGCGAACCCGGAAAGGCATTGAATTTCCCCACGTTTTCATCAGATTCCACCTAATGAAATACCATACCTTGGGCGAAGATGCCCTGGAGGAAGGCGGCGAGGCAGAGAAGGAAACGGAGCATGGCGAGCTCGAGACTCTTCCAATCCAGCGAGACCTGAATCCAGTGGCTTCCTTCATTGGGAAAGGTAACGACGTTACCATCGTCCTTTCCATATCTGCTTTCGCAAGTGCTTCCCTTCCCGGCGGATCTTCCACATGTGAGTCCCTATCATCGTGGACGTGTTTCTTCTGCCTCAGATATCCTCCATACGTGTCAGCGGATAGACGAAGTTGATTGAAAAAGGAAAGCTCTATCCCAAGATTGGTGAGAGAAGACTCCAGAGTGATTGAGATCTTATCTCTACCTGGCGAATAAATGCGCAAAGGGTCTTCGCACAGCCCTTACGAAAATGTAAAGGATCCTTTTTGAGGTATCATTTAGCGATGACGCTTAATGCTCGAGTATTTTCCAGCAGGTGGAAAGAGAATACCAATGAAATGAAGGAAGTCAAAAGGAAAAATGCACGGGAGATGTAATAAAAATCATATCCAAGAAATACAGCAATCGCTTGGAAACCCCTTGGAAACAGGATTGTGGTCGTTCAGTGGAGAACTTTCTAATATATATAGACGATCGTGACTGACTGACTGACTTATTCCATTCATTGATGTCATACTAACTCAATATGCGATTTGCGTCTCTGCATGACAGGAGGAAGATCCCTGGACTCCATGGACCAACTCATCGAAGCTCTGCAGGCTGGCAGGAGCGTTTCTGAAACTTGGTACACATGTACCTTTTGGGATGCAGAGTTCAGAAAAAATTCTACTTTGTAGGTACATGCTCTGGGGGTACACATCTTGGGGGAAAACGTTTTTCTTAAATATATTTTGTAACAGATGAGGATGGCATTCAGAGAACCAACTGGTTGTCCTGCGTTCGGTGGTGTAGTAGTAGCATCTGTAACTGGCAATCAGAAGGTACTGGTTCAATTCCCCGCCTTTGCTTTCTTTTGGCTCTTTTGCCTTCCATGTCCCGTAACTCATTCCCCCTCCATAACATTATTTTTGCTTGAATAAAACGGAGAGACATGGAAAGCTGAAACTTGGCATGGACGTGCCTACCGACACGATGAGTTCAGGAAAAATGAAAAATTGTAGATCCATGCCCTGGGGAATATTTTTTTGGGCCGACGTTTTCAATTATTTTTTTTCGTCCTGGCGTATTGAGCTAGTGTGGAAAGATGAATCTTGGTACATAACTACCTATTGGGATGCTGCAGAAAACTTCCGACTTTGGAAGCAAATGCGGTGACACGAATTTCAAAGGGAGATGTTTTTAACTAATTTTTTTGCATCAGTTAAACTGATGAACATGAAAGCTGAAACTTTGCATGAATGTGACTACTGAGACAAAGAGTTAAATAAAAATGTCAAGTCTCGATACATCCCCTTCGGGAATTTTTGGACGTACTTTAAATACGTGTTTCCCATTACACAAAAAATGAATGAATTAATCACTAACCAAGGTAATAGTCTACGGTCCCGATCTACGGCAAAATCTCAGGCCGGTCTTTACGCAGAAAAAATTTCACTGTTTAATGTGCCATTTGACTTCCTTATATGGGTCCCATAATCATTTCTTCGTATTGGTCCGGAAGAATGTGCCAGGATTGAGTCAGATAACACTTTTCTGAAACTAGACTTTCTTCACGCTCGTCACTTGACTGATTCATCGTCAGTCAAAAGAGATAGCGATTCCATATGTGCACTAGCACATCCCCATTGAATATATGGATGAAATATGTGTCCAGAAGACATTTATATATTCTGTCAGGGAAGTGAACTTTTGTGTATAGTGTGAAAAACGAGACCCGTGCCTCCATCTAGTGGTTAAGAGGAGAACTTATGGATGATGGACTGGCAATATCGGAAAGCCAATATTGAGGGGTATTGACAATAATGACAAGATGTATGGAAATCGGTCCAGCATTGAGCCAATATCTGGTGCTATTGGGGTGGTAACAATGGATGGGTTCTTGGTCGTTTCTTGAAAAAAAAAATGTATTCCCTATTTGTTGATGCATGATACAATTAATACCATAAATACAATTCAAAAATGCGATTTACGAAAGTATTACAATGCCATAACACCGCTGAGATATTCACGCAACGTCGGACTTATACCTTCAACGTCGATGACGTTGCATTGACTCTAGAGGAACGTTCCCACAACGCTACTTAGTTTGCTGGGATGCATCCTCCTCGATTAGCAAGATTCTCCTCGGACGGCGTAACGTGTTTAAACAAAATGAACTGAGAAATTCAAGTGTCTCCCTGTACGTTCTCTATGGAAATGGATCAAGTACCGCAAGAAAGGCACTGGAGTCTTAATGAATCACTTCCTGATCCCACAGTGGCTACACACCCGCCATCTCTTTTATTCTGTGGGAATCTTTTTGTTCACATAACTGAGATAGATCTTTCATCCTGAGACATGGCAGATGTTGACAGCCGCCCTCGCGTCGATGATGAGCCTACATGGGCAGCTCACTGTGATGTGGGCCCAAGTTCGCCCACTTGCAGCCAATGTTGGCCCCATTATGGTGTGCTGCTGGGGATCTTGTCTTGCAAGAGGTAGATGTGCGACATTACTTTCCATGACAGTTAATATTACTTGGGTACATAAGGAGAATATAACAGAAATTAGAGCCAGTGCCTACGCTTACGAAGCGTGCGATCAAGCGAGAGAACTGATTGTTTAAAGACAACGAGACAGCGTTCGAAAGAAAATGCTCATTTAGACCAAAGAGAGTTAACATCCTGGGACACTCAGAACGTATTGAAGCGTTGGCAACCTCACCCACCAAGTCCAAGTCAGCACGATTTCTTTCTTTTTTTTTTACTGGGCATTAATCTATTCTCAATCTATCGTATCCTGGGAGACATGTCATGACTTTTGCTTTATATGACTTAGCGCTCCTTATTTGGTGAAAATACATGTCGGGTAAAAATCCGAGTGATGTGCCACAGCACATAAAAATTCAAATAGCGAATCTTCCGTAGCACACATACCCCTGTAGTGGCATTGGCTAGCAATATGCAAGCATGTACCCTTCAGAGGTGTTCATGCTACAAATGACTAGTTTTTGGAATTTTCCAGCGCCTTTGCCCATCACTGATCAGCCGCAATTGACAGACCCATCGTTAGGGCATTTTGCCATAACGGCTCCAAAGCTATAGCGTTTTTTGAAGTATGAGTCATTTCTCCTAGTCCACCCAGTGCATATACTAGTAGGTCAGTCTACAATTTCGTCGAGTGAGTTTCATCAGTACTTTTAGCAATACCTTCTTGTTCAGGCCAATCTCAAAAACAGCCAGAGCCTATTCATTCGATGACTATTTCAGTTGCCCACTGGAATAATGATAATCTATGGTGAGAGACGGGACAACTTCGAACGCTTGCATTAACATTTACTCTGTTGTTTTTGCTGCGACTCGAGAAGAGAAGCCTGTCCAAGCGTCTTAGGCAGTCCCCAACCTTTATTTCAAGATGAATGGGACTTGATTCGCCGTTCAAGCCTCCTGGAATATCATGAGACCCCCGCCAAGGGTGCATTCCAAGAACGTTTCGCCGAACGCGTTGCCCCATTCGCCGTTTTCATCGTACCGCCAAAAGCCTGGGAAGACGATGGCGTTGTTGCTTGCGTCGAGGGTGACGCCGAAGGTCTCGTAGGCGAAGCGGCTGATCGGATCGCTGCTCAAAGTAAACGCCGACGAGAAAAGCCTTGCTCCAGCGGCTGGAAGTAGAACGAAAACCAATTAGATAATACCTTTCGAAACCCTCCTGAAAAAAAAAATGCATTCGGCAAGGAAGATGGCAAGATAAAATCTCACTTGCAGGACTGAAAACGATGAGATCCTGAAGATACGCCCCAACCCTGACACCACTGAGATCAATTTCACCCGTCGGATCCACACATTCATTGAAGTCGATTTCTGCAGACAACTTCGCTCCATTCAATTCCGCCTCCACCACCGCCACGTAATCCATCAACTCCGTCCTACGATCATGGACAATTCCTCAATCTTAATCTTAATCTTAATCTTAATCACCTCTTGTCTCCCCAGGTGAAACGAAGGGACTCACCTCCCAAAGGAAGGTGCGGTGAAGGCGGCCCCCTCACCGATCACGCACTGAAACAAGTACACGTCCGGGACGTCGTCGGGCACGATTGGGTTGAAGATGGAAACCTTCACGTACAGCACGTTGTCGGGGGCCACGTAGTATTCTTGTAAGATCATGTCTCCGAAGACTATGTAAAAAAAAAAAAACCAAGTCAGGAAAAAAAAAGCACATATTAAGTAGATTGATCTCGTAATTTTGGAGAATTTGAGTCACCTTCGACGACGGATTGAGAGAAGAAAATGCCCGGGAATTCCACGTCCTCCTGCCGCAGCCAAGTAACCACGTCGACTCCAACAAACTAAATAGGAGAACGAAAATTGTTTATTTTTATTATGATGCAATGGAAATTTTAAAGTTACAGCCATTACAATCGAAAGTAGTCCATTTTCCGAGCGAAATCTAAAATATTACGAGGGATACGTTCGTGTTCCTATCGAGCAGCAGAAATGAAGCCACAATTTCATCGTTTACTTCGTTATCTCAACCGACAACTTACCAATGTGACTCCTGCAATGTCTCATGCTCTAGCCATTCGAACATCTAGGTTGCTGTGGCTGGTTAAAGTCACAGTCTCTTTCGACGCATCCAGCATCTGACAGCTTCACCTCGAATGCTCTCCATTTAAGTCTCATAAGTAAGCCTACTATGTAATGCGGACATTTTACCCATTACGGGTCGGTTGATGAATGGAGGGCTAAGTTAGCAACGGGTTAACTTCCACGCGGGGTCAAATAGCCCTGGGCTAAACGGATCCTCCCGTGTCGGTTGATGAATCGAAGACTCAGGTCGGGGTTAGCTAACCCCACCTTCCCACTTCTCCCCGGCAATCTCACTATCCGGTTCTCCAGGGATCCTCCACACACTGTCCCACTGCGCATGCGCTTTCCAGTTTTGCACGTAAGTCCTCTCCTTGATTGCAGTTCATTTGGATCGGACGCTTTCGTGCTATTCGCATTTTTATACGTGTTAGTAATGGATACCGATGGCCCGTCCATCATTGTGATTCAGTCGAAACGTGAGAACTTGAGGGGACTGGGCAAACAGCTGCTTCTCAAGTTGGAGGATTCATCCATTGACGTAAGGCAGTCCCGTCGATGCTTCTTGGGTTCCTGGAGTTGCAAATGGCGTAATTCAGTGGTTTTCTCTAGAGTTCCACAATTGTTCACTTGACTCAGACACGCGTGCAAAGGGAGTTCCTCGTGCGTGAGTGCCGAATTCAAGGGAAAATGACTGTAAATGCAGCACAGACTCTTTTAAAAAGGATTGGAATGATCCCTGATGCTTGGGGCGTAGCACTGGCAAATCTCTTGTAATCTCAGTTCATTCAAAGCGGCCCACAAAAGAATCCAAGACAGTGACCCGTATGCAAGAACACATCACTTGATAGCCAATTGCATGGTAGCATTCTTGATAGGTATCAGGCGATAGGTCTATAATTTGCCTGATTCTGTATGCAAGAGCAATGTATAGGTTTCTATCGTGATGCCTATTCTTATAGGTATCTTCATACCAACTACGATAGGCATAAAATACCCTTCATGATGTGCATTCGCGAATTTTCCTGATGACAATCCAACATCTACGGCCCAGAAACAATGGCATCAGTATCTACTAATTTGACTGACCAGAGTGCTGTTTGCTGATTTAATGGCACTAATCTCACCTCGAAATTGGAATCACCAATTGGCTTTTCATAGGTGCTCCTAGAAATCACTATTCTCACCTTATCATATCTTATTGCATATGTGAGACATTTCTCATCAAAATATGTCTTTTATCAATGTTTATCAAGGGTTCCACTGAAACTATTAAGCCCATTTTTTTAAGAAAAAACATTAGTGGAAAAACTCGAGAGTTTATTCACATTTTTGCCTCATTTCATGGATTACCTAACAAAAAAGTTATTTCTTCAGCTTAACAACCCACAAATATAGAAGAGATTGTAAACACATTCTCAGATTACTCCACTAAATTGTTTTCTCGAAAAAATATGGGCAACTAGTACTGGTAAAACCCTCATAAAAGTATTCGTATTCTAAAGTATTTTTCAGCACCTCATATTCATACGGAACCAATTGTAATGGGGCCAATAAAAAGTATTTTTGGTTGCCTCATTTGCTCATTTGAAACCTATCAATAATTAGCGATCAAAACTGCGTATTTGTGGAGTAATTTTATAGACCCTCTTTAAATTCCCTGCGACATAAGAAAACACTTTCTGAATGATCCGCCAGTGAAAGAATATCAGACAAATATGTAAACACTCTGAAATGCACAATATGTAAACGCTCTGAAATGTACAATATGTAAACACTCTGAAATGTACAATATGTTACACTAAACTCTTCGTTTAAAGGCCTCTATATTTAAAGGACTCACGAGAACTTCGGGCGCAGTGTCGTTCGGTGAAATGCACATGGCGGAATCCAACGAGACGCGAATGTCCTTCCCCTCCAGAAAGGCCTCATCCAAGACTTCATAAGTTTCAAACGAGTCGTAAGATTCGCCTGAGACGAGGAGATGTCGCAAATATTAAGACAGTTCAAGAAGGTCTCGTGGAGAATTCCTCCGCAGCAAAAAATTATATCAATATATTAATAATCAATACATATCAATATATTAATACATCAAAGATTGCGCGGTTGCGAAATGTTGATACATAATCTTCTTAACCCTGCTTTGAATAAAATATTGAATACAACTTTATAAAAAAAAAGTGTATTTTATGCCCCATGACACAATTTTAATTCAGAAAATTTCGTTGCCTAAGAGGAATGAATGCTCAGAAGCTGAGGAATATATCTGGAATTTTTTACGTAACGTAACGTTTATGTAACGTAATTTAGCAGCTTTTCTCATAAAACACTTGCAAGCCCTCAGAAAATAAAGTAGCAAATTTTCCGTTGAGACCAATACACTTTTCATGCTCTATCCACTTAATCTTCCTTCGAAATGTTTTCACTCTGGTCCGAATCATTTTCTTGCGACAGGAAGTTAAACTGCGAATTAACGTTTGGATAATCACCCCTTTCGCCATGATTGTAACCGAGATATGATATTCCGAAGGATATTGACATGGTAGCCGATGTCATAGAGTTTTATCCAACACTTAATTTTTTCTATTCTTATCCGCTTCTCGCGACGAGAATTTAATCCATTGCTGCAAAAATTTACCGAACGCATTAATCTTTGGCCTGTATTTCACGCTAGCGGATGTTGACCTACCTGAGGCATGATGAAATCTGACGGAATCTCCGAGGACGCACTGGAATCCTTCGGGATAAGGATATTCGTCTTCCCAGGTTTGAGTATTGAAGTAATTGGCCGAAACGAAGACGGATCCATCTTGGGAAACGAATAGCCTGACCACCGTATAAACCGTCTCGCCCTCGTTCACGCTTAGTGCCACGCCCGGGAATTCCACGACGAGCACCTGCCCTGCCTCATCTAAGGGGGGGGGGGGGGGGGGGGGGGGGGGGGTTTCGCCCCGCTAATTCCACGACGAGCACCTGCCCTGCCTCATCTAAGGGGGGGGGGGGTAGGGGGGGGGGGAAAGGTCATCCTGTCTTCGTCACGATCGCAACAAGCGAAGCAACCGGCAATACAAACCCGGCAAGACGTAATACTGATAATACGTGGATCCGCCCTCGGCGACGGTGACCTCCGCCGGCAGGGGATGCTCGCACTCAGTGGCGACGTCCGTGATAGTCAGTTGACGCCCTTCCAGCAATGCCGTCAGCAATTCGTCGTACGTTCCCAGTGTAGTGCTTCAGTGTAAGATCCAACTCTTGAGCTTTTTCCCGTTTAAGGCCAATCTCCCATTGTGAATTCATTAGGAGTAAGCAAACGTACAATTGCAGTGTAATATGCATCGTTTCGAGGGAGATTATCTTTCATGCGAATATATTATCGTATCCCGCAATTTTTTCTGCATGGAGGAGCGGAAGGTCTCGGCCTTTCATTTTGGAACACTCATGCCTGAAAATTGGTCAAAGCTACGACTGTGATAAGCTCCAGCAGGAATTCACCTATATGTCACCTGTCATGAAAAATTTTCCCGAGAAATTTCCACGAAATTTCACTTAATAGAATCTTTTTTTCGAATGAAGTCAGTGGACGATTTCGGGCCAAAAATATGCTTCAATGCTCCCTCTTTTCGCCTTTGACGAAACAAAAAAATTCAGAAATTCAATCATGCAAACTGACAACCCCATTCAGCAAAAGATCATATACGGGCGGAGATTCCGAAAAAACAAAATTCCAAAATGATTCTGTCCATCGATATTCGAGTTAAACATATCCTAGAATATGTTTAACAGTATTAATGGCCGGATTCCTGAAATGCAAATTCCAACCGCGGCGTATGTATTCATCCCCTGCCGAAATTAGTTCATAATTATCATCAATATTTCCAACACATTCGCACATTATGGACTTATTGCCTACTCCTCGAATAGAGTTAATGAATTCTGACCAAAGAGAGACAAATTTCCATCTGACCTGGGAATCACGGTCGACCTCGCTAATTTACTGCTTGGCGGAAGAAGAGAGAAACTCACTCGGGCTGATGGCTTCCCTTCTCCACGAAGAATGCCCCGACCCCAGCCGTGCATTGCGCGACGTAGTTGTTCGTAACGAGACCGGTCTCGCTCGCGATCTCGTAGGAATCGAACATCGCGTGCCCGTCGGAACTCACGAACGAGTAGACCAGAACGAACGTCCCATCGGCTGGAAAAATGAAAAAACGCCGTGCGAAACTCCACGTCGCCAGACGCGAACTCACGTCTCACGCCGGTCTCACGCGTGGCGAAGGACTGAAGGGCGACCACGGTCGGAACTTCCGACTCGATCTCCGTGTGTTGCCACGTGTCGAAATGCACAGACAGCAACTGACCAGCACAACCACATCGAGTTAGTTCGATTCTTTATTTTATATATATTTATATATATTTTATATATTAAGTATTTATGCATATCAATACACACGAGTGGAATTTAGTTGAAGGTAAATAACCTCTGGATACCCTGATAATTATGGGATCATTCGACAGGGGAAATAATCAAGGTTTTTCCACCCTAATCAGGGTAATTAATTAATTACGCAACATTTCTGCCCAAAAATGAATCTTCTGAACCATAATTACCATTAACTATTATAATTAATTATTAATTATTATTAACTGCCCGCACCTGCTAATTCGCTCCACTGGAGATTTCGCTCTGGACGTCCCGAGTCCATGTCGCCTCTTCTATTCGATCATAATAATCGCTTAAAAAAAAAAGAAATCGTAACCGGTGGCAGTCGGCTCTGGGTTTCTTCAACCGCGGTTATCGAACCTGGCCTTCCAATAGTTGACCGTCGCTTATTCGATTTTTTTTTTCGCTTTTGTAATTAGCTGCTGGAAGAGACGTTGCGATCCGCTGGGAACTTTTAATTGAAGGCAACATATGAACATCATCGAGATGATTTGACAACTTTCAAACACGACGAACATAATTTATTTGCACGAGGAAAGGATTGGACAATTTTCTTCAGCGGCTTAATAAATGAAGTTGCTGTCAACATAACTTCGAAATCGCTTAAAGTGTCGAGGCCGACCCGAGTCCCTAGGTAATATTTCTCTGCTCCAAGAAAACCGTCATGTCGCGGAGAGAAATAATGGAGAAGTCTCATGGAACTCACAACCGGCTCCGGCGTGTTTGACGACTCGCACAAGTCGCTGTTGTAGTTGCCAGTGACGCGATGCCCGGCCCGGAGAGCCGCGACCACCTCGTCGAAGGACTCCAGGGATCCCCCTTTGGTCACCAGATGAGCGTCATGACCGGACGGATCCAGACATATTATCTTAATACCGAAATAGTTTTGAGGAATTCCTATAATTACGCGGTGGACCTTTTATTTCATTTTTTCCGTGCGGAAAACTACTTGAACCAAGGCGTTTGTCTGACCTCAGCTCTCATTTTTAAGCGATCACGGAGTCATTTTCTTTAACGATATTATTAACGTGTATAACTTGAAGAAGATTTCTCTCAGCCATGTCATGTCAAAGGCCTTTGAAATAATTGAAGCGCTGAATTAAAGTAACAGCCAAATACCCTACTTACCATTACATGAAATGGTATTTTTGCTTTTAGTAACAATTTTTGTCAAATAATCACGCGGATGCATTGTGAATGGTCACGTAGAGAGGACAGGCCGAACTTCTAAATATTCCAATATCAAAATAATTGCTATAAGTTCAGGTTGTGAATAGTGAGTCCTATAATTACCATATTTCCCGAATTTTTTGCGCTAAATGAATCACGTGGACACCTATTTTAGGTACAAAATGCAGTATATCAATTCGTATGATAATACCCTGTATATCTCGTTGTAATCCAACGCAAGAGCATTCCGGAAACACGAGTCACAAATTTCATTTAGCGGCTTGAAGGATTCCCTCCTTGAATTTTCCGAAGAGAATTCCTGGAAGAAATGCCAGACCTTGAGCGAAGATGGCCGGGAGGAAGGCAGCAACGCAGAGGAAGAATCGCAGCATGACTGCCTCGAGGCCGCAACGGGTCCAGTCTGGATCCGGATTCCCCTCAGTTCCTGCTTTTATGGAGAATCGAGATAATCATGACGGCATTTTGCCCCCTATGCCCTCCCTCACGAGGTCCTATCGGAATCGCGTCAGCTGATGCATTCTCGCGACGAACGTGTTTTCTCACCTCAGAAACTGCACATTTAGTATTACGTCGCGAGCGAAAGAAAAATATTTGGATCGCAACAGGCAACATTTGAATCAACTCCGAACCAAAATATGAAAGACCCGTGAAATACCGCAAAATCTACCTCTCCTACAGAAAATTCCTCAGAGACCGTGTCTATATTTACGTCTCCAGCTCGTACTACATGTTTCAAACGAATGCCGCATGATTCCACACTCATTGCTTCCGTGTTGAAAAATTCGTTCGGCACTTCTAATCCTTCCTCTTCTGGAAAAAGTGGAAAGAAAGCGAGAGTGAACTGCGGTGTCTAGGCGGGAACTAATGACCACCAGTCTGGAGGAAATTTTTCCCCCTTAGCGTGGCAATAAGTACGCTCTGAAAACGAGACTTTAAAAGATGAAGACATATTTCCTTGGCATAATTGGCTCATTAACATCATAAACCATCACAAAAATCAGCATCTTGCCCAAGTAACCTGACCGTATGCTTAGCATTACATTAGCTTAGCATAACACACGTGATTTGAAATAGACCAATGAGGAATTAACTACGGTCCTGCTGTGGCGTTTAATCCTACAACGCTAGGAATTTACGTTACGAATTTAGTTTTCGAGTAGGGAAGAGATGAAACAAACTCTTTAAAGAAATGTGTTACAAATACGTGCAGGGTCCATCCAAAAATCCATACTGGAGACATGATTCGAATCATGGTGCCTCTCGGTGGAACATATGTTATGGTTCTCACGAATGATAAAGCAGGGAGAAAAAAAAAATATATATATATATATATAAAAAATACTATTATGAAATGTGTTTACTTCCTGGCCAATATTTCGCAATAGGACATGCCATGCCACGGTGGATTGGAACTATATAAAAAATTGGACCTGGAGCTATACCATCGCACAATGGATTGCTGCGTCTCTCAAATGTTTTAATAACAACATTTTCCCAGTCGTCGGGCGACATGACTAAAACTTGAAAAAAATAGACCTAAGGTTTGTCTGCATGGTGAATCTCCAAAATAATTTCATGGATTTTTCCAAATCGAGTAATTTTCGTCATTAATAAAAGCTATCCCATACGGCTGTTATGATTAGAGATTTTTAATGCAAATGCTTACTTTTCTGCAGCCTCCTAGAAGCATGTTACACAGGTAAAATCATGTCTTACTAGTAGAGGAAGCAATTTCTGCCACTTTAAAAATGCATAAAAATGAAAATTTCGATTTTTCGCATGATCTCCATATCGACATATATATACCTCGTATTTGCATTTTTGGGCATATTTCGCTCTTTTTTAAGTGAAAAATAAGGGTTTCTCAGGGAAATGTGTTTTCTTCATGAGCTACCGATGAAAAATTTCCAGGGTTAATGTGCTACGACCAGTACCGTAGAGGGGGTGTGTTTGGAGGGGGGGGGGGGGCGAAGCCCTTTAACTCTGCCCTAAATGTATCCGCTGCTCCCGAGAAGTTAAGGAAGTCCAGGTCCCCGTTTTTCTTTCTCCCTCCATTGGGTGGCTTTGCTGCTCGCTGTGACAGCAATAAGTCAACAATATCCTGTATAAGCATGGAATGTAGATTGATGTTTCTTCTTTCGAAAATGTAATATTACCTTAAAAGTAACACGTGTTCTTCCGTATTTCAATAAAATAAGGAAGGCATTGCGATCTGAATATGGTATTGCGTTTTTAATATTATATATAGTTGAAGAATTATTGCACCAAAATATATAATGGGGAACATTGGGACAATTTATGTCATCACTGAATAATATTTTTAATATTGTTCAGATAATAATAACAGAGAAAAACATTTCCCCAGCTCTATTTCGACAGGTTTGCTGAAAGGAACTCCAGAGCCAAGCCAAGGATGGCGACGAGTTAGACAGCAGTTTTCAATCAAACGAAAGTTGCATGGGGAATCCCCAGGAATGAGTTATGCATTGTGAACAAAGACGATGTTGCCATCGCATCCTCCTGACATCTCCACGTGTTTTTCTTCCATGTGTTTTTCTCCATTCTACTAAACGATCCTAGAGGAATCCAAGGCAATCGAAATTGTATGTTCCTTGATAAAAGTGGTATAAACAGAACTAATGTTATCGATCAGGAATACTGTAAATATTGGTGGTGGAAATATTACTTACGCCAGAATATTATTAGGCGATTACATTCTAATTTCATATTTAATTACGTTAAAGTGCTACCACGTAAAATTATTTTATTATACTCTCAACAAGTGCGTTCCAACTGTTATTCCATTTCATCCATCAAGAACGGAAAATGAGAAGAGAACAGGCAAATGAATGAATCTGTTGAACTTTAGTAACTTCAGGCTTCCTGGAAGATCTTGAGACCACCACCAAAGGTGCATGGAATGAAGAGACCATCGGAAGAGTTGCCCCATTCCCCATTTTCGTCATATTCCCAGGTGCCTGGGAAGATGAAAGCATTGTTTCTCTCGTCGAACGTCACCACCAAAGTGCCGTATTCCCCGTTGCTGGTGTAGAAAAACGTGGATAGCGAAATCCTCTCCCCTATGGCTGAAACGAAAGGAAGCCGCCAAGTTATTCGCATCTCATGCATATATCAGAGGATTTAATACAAACGAATAGGCGAAAACTCACTGTCAGGGCCAAGAAAGAGAAGGGATTGGAAGCTGGAGCCAATCGTGTCATCAATCAGATCATATTGGCCGCTCGGATTAATGCAACCCTCGAACACAATCACCATCGTCAATTTCGCTCCCGCAAGTTCTGCCTCCAATACCGACCCGTAGTCACTTAACTCCGTTCTACATCCAAGAATGAACCACGACACTGCACATCTCCCGATTGAAATTTTATGCGGATTACACGATTTTATGCTTATTGCTTGATTTTAGGCGGATTACACGATTTTAGGCGGACCCACCGGGGAAAAGCTGGAGCAGAGAAAATGGTCCCTTCCCCATGACGCATTCAAGCAAAGTCACGTCTTTGATATCGTTGGAGTCCAAAGGGTTCGCTGTGACGATCATCACGTTCACTGTGTTATTGCTTCGGGTGATAATTTCTTGAAACACGAAGTCTCCAGCGACTGAGGAAGATATAATAGACTTAGAAACCCATGAAATTCCCTATCGACCCAGTCAAGGAAAATGTTTCACGGTTCACGAAGGACTGATAGGCCGTGAATACGGAAGATGCTTCAAACGGCTCTCGGTACCAAAAGACCACCTTCGCTCCAGCATACTGAAATTCAAAAAGGGAACCTTTCAATGATTACCTCATCGAATGAAATCACGTTGATGAGCCTCTCGGTGAGAATTATGCACGCTAGAAAATGTCCCCGACGCAATCAGAGCGATTAGAAATGCAAAAAAAACCACATAAAGGCAACAATTTACGACTCGGTTCCCTAGAAATATTATTTCATGGTCTTACAGGTTAGACGACTTACTTCCATGAGATGTAAATCACGTCAATGACGCCCGACGGATTGAGGCTAGTCGGTAATTTCCCAGTAATAGAGAACAACAGGCACATGCTAAAATAGATGCTAACATCATGCCTTTTCAAACCGACTGAAAGTCCTGTCCCAAGTGTTCAATGTCGACCATCAAGGTCCACCCTACAACGGCGCTGCTGCAGGTTCAAACACGGAGCCGAGTGACAGGACCAAAGTGGCCCAGAGTTGGCGACTAACGTTCCCTAATTGGACTAATGTTGGCGACTAACGTCCCCTAATTGGACTAATGTTGGCGACTAATGTTTCTGTTAATCCAACCGGGTCTCTTCGCTGGCTCAAAGTAAGCAGGCTGCTATCCCTAGCATAGAGTGTTCTATGCACTACGTCTGTTTGGGTGCTAAACTGATGTAATCTTTAATTAATAAAGGATTACTTCAACTTGCCCTTAAACTGTAGTGTGCCATGCATTAAACAGAACGCTCACGAAGAGGCCAAGGGCCAGGAGACGTAAGAAGACATGCACTCGTTCTGGACGAAACAGCATATTTCAAATTCCCTAAAAATTTCTAAATCTAAATATCCTAGTCGAAATTCTATCCAAACAATCCCCTGTCCTGGTTCTGCGATTGTAAAACAAGTTGGATGATCGTTCTAAAACCATCACAGGAAAGGCACGTGATACAAATTTCGACCCGCCTAATCTCAAAATCCTTACCAACGGTTTGATATTTTTTTTTTGAGGTCCATCGAGAGGAAAGCACACACCTTTCATTCACGTTTTGGGATGAAACACTTGCGTAATTATGCTGAAAAAGTCTGCTTGTATTTATTTCGAGTTGAAATTTCGCGTGGGGGCGGAATTTATAGCAGAGTCGGAATTTCTATCACCTACCATTCATACCATACCATTCATACCATCCATATCATTACCATACCACCTAAAAGCGACTCAGAACGCAAGGAGGTGAATGCCGCCTCCGAATCACGGTTGAGAAACTTACGAGATAGTCCGGGAGAGTTCCTTCGACTGGGATGCACTTGGAGGGATCCAATGCGACTTGGAGGTCCTTCCCCGCCGATATGGCGGCATCCATTTCAGGGTGAGAATTGAGTCGTAGGCGTCACCTGATTTGTATAAATATAAATATAAATATAAATATAAACGAGGATCACCAAATGCGAATTTCTTAATTTGTGTGATGGGGAGCTCTCATCTTTTATTCTTCGAAATAATTGTTGTCTCTCCTCAAACGTGTTCATTCGTGCAACTCTGAAGACGAGCGACTGCAGAACCAGAAATTACACTGGAAAATAGAAGCGTTAAAAAATTTTATTTCTTGGGGGAAAAGGCTGCTAGAAGACCGGCAATAGACATGTAAACATGATTGTTTACATGATTGTTTACAAACATTCCACTTTCATTGATGACCGAGTGGACGCAATCGATTACCGAACCTTGCATCGCTGCTAGCACTTTAACAGGCTGACCGCCACCGGCACGCCTCGCTGAATAGGAAAATCAACAGGCCAACATTGACCTGTTAAAGGAGTTCTTAGTATAGTAATATCAGTCTTAGTTTAAGATGTATGAATAATTATAAATTAGGCGCATTGAGCTTTCGTCTCAACGGGAAATTGCCTAAATTACTAACTAGACAGTTATTATCGGTAAAGAAGACGGTATATGCTGGCATATTGGCATTTTTATACCAATTTTTTCTTTCTTTCAAATCCACCTCATGCAGTTCCTTCCGACAAAATTATTCCTGATAATTACGAAATATTGAAGTGCAAGTGAGAAATTCCAGCGGAAACGGTGGGAAAATCGAGGCTTTACTTATTCTCAATAACAGGTTATTTCACTACATCTTCCTCTCGGATTTGCGATTTTTTGCTCGAGATGAACCCAGCCTCCCCATTTCTGTCGTTTTTCTGAGAGGGAGATTTTCCCGCCTTAGGAAGAAGCATGCCATCCAATTCAAGTACTGCATGTATAGCATGCAAGTACCACATGCAGTACTTGAGCAACACTGCCGGACCAGGTCCGGCAGTGTTCACTCATCTCATTGCTCCACCTGCTCAACCAACATCCCACACCTCTGCCTCCTCCTCTCAATTCACTTCTTGGAAAACGCGCACATCCAAACAGACGCTCGAGGACTCTAACAAGACGGGCCAGTCATTCCCAACCCGACCGACCTCGTTCGTGAGGAAGTGACCTCGTTCGGACGAGGTCACTTCCCTCGTTCGGACGAGGTCACTTCCCTCGTTCGGACGAGGTCACTTCCCCCGAAATAAAACCATATCCCCAGCTGGGCGAGCTTCCTCATCGCCTTCCCCATCTCTCTCTGACCTACCGTCGGGGACCATGAACTCCAAAATAAATAAGTGCATGGTATAAATAACAACGCATGCATGAAAGTGATCCCGCCATCGACAGAGACTCTCTTAAATCGCCGCAGAAGGCGAAGGAGGAAGGTGAGGAAAGTGAGGAAAGTAAGTGAGGAAAGGCAGAAGGTAATCCACTGGGTAACCCTTATTAGATGTTATGCCCTGAAGCGAAGAGACTCGGAGGAAGGGCCGACGTACTAGACGAGGGGTGCCCAACTGGGCCGCATGACCTATTTTTTTTATATTTATAATATTTATAAATATTAATACTGCACTACTTCAGACTTCGTCACAGAAAAGGTGCAGGAAAGGTTTCTCAAATTTCTGGAAGCGCCCCGGACCGGATGAACTGCCTAACTTCTTAAATGTTTGGGAGGAACGAAGCGAGCGAGAGAAAATGGGCAGAAGGAGTTCGCAGACGCCGTCATGCGCAGACGCCGTCATGCGCAGACGCCGTCATGCGCAGACGCCGTCATGCGCAGAATGGGCGTATTTTGGCTTCACTGTATTGCGGGTTTAATGTTTCCACAAAGATTTATAGCAAATAGAGTACCAGAGGCGTAGTAGAAGTTGATGGATTCTCCAAGAATGCACTGGAATCCTTCAGGGTAAGGATATTCATCCTCCCAGGTGAGTGCATTGTAGTAATTGGCGTGGACAACGACGGATCCATCCCGAAATACGTTCACCCTAGTCACGGCATAAACGCTCTGGCCCTGAACCACGCTGAGTGCCAGGCCAGACCACTCCACGACGATCTCGTCTGAAACGAAAGGAGACCTCCACGACCTTCTTCATGACGTCACAGGCCACGACAAAACCGGACCGACCGGGGACAACGTAAAACCGATAGTTGGTGGATCCCCCCTCGGCGACGATTACTTGAGGTTCCAGGGAATTCCCCCATGCCGTGGCGGATGCGACGATCGTCAATGGTCGTCCTTCCATCAACGCCATCAACAGGTCATCAAATGATGCCACTGCAGTACTGAAAGCAATCGGATAGAAAATAAGATTTTTTTAACCATTAAATTTAGATTGAGTTCGACTCAACGCATGTAGCTAGCCTTGCCAAATGAAATACGAGTTTCAAAACGGAAAAGAAAGCCATGTTTAATGGGAGATTTAATGGGAGATCATCACATCCGTGGTAAGTTTTGTATCCCGAAAATATAATCTGCATGAATGATTTAAGCTCTAGGTCAGTAAAGTTATTTGAATCATCAGAGGTGTGCGCCTGTTGTCGCTGAATAATGCTTGAACACTCTTTCCCTTGGAAAAAAAATTCATTGATGAAATCCATGCTCTCCTCGAAGACGCGTTTTTTGGCTTCATCGCGTTCGAATTCGGTTGCCGAGGAAGGACGGTAATATTTGCATACCTGATGGATGCAAGAAATAGTGACATCCTCTCAGGAAAAGGTCCTGCGGCTCTTCACCATTCCCTATCTCCAAGTGGCAATAGCTTTTCGAATGGTTTCCCTAGCGACGCTAGGAGGCAGGTGTGAGAGAAGAAATTTCTGTAGGACCTACCACAGGGTCCGAAAAAAGAAATGTTGATTTCATGCCGTTGCATTTACTAAAGTATTGATGAAAAACAATTTTTTTTTACTGTAAAAATATGCATCAAGAACAAAATTTGTTGTAACCATTAAGTTTCCATCCCAGAGGCTTCCCGCGTCATGACATTAAGTACCAAAAAGGACTTCGCTGCTCACAAACGTGGGGATCGCAGAGGCCAGTTCATATCTCCGTTACGAGAAATTACGCCGTTCGCGAACGGTTCACGCAACTTAGCCATTGTCGCTCGTAGAAAAGGACAACAATAAGAAAACGGTCTTGGACTGTCCACCTGTTCACCATGAAAATTCTAACAATTAATCTCCTTCGAAAACATGTTTTTCATTAACTTTACTTAACGATAACGATTAACGATACTTTCGTCACATTCCCGGGGCCTTTGTACTTCTTGAATTCCTTCAGATAGGATGTTCGCAATTTAACCAACTGTAACATTGAAAAAATATTATATATTTCGATTTTCTGCAATACACCCGGTAGTGAAGCCAAAAAGCTCACAGGGCATCAAATTTAATCTTAATTTATCGGAATTTCAGTGGCAAGATGGGATTTACCATTTTCCACTCGTTTTTTGTCGAGGTGGGCTCGCCATCGGTCGTAACGTTGTGGGGAAAAAAACGGAGTGGAAGGGTAATGCATTGAGGCAGGAATGAGGGTAATGAGGGTAAAGCATTCATCTCCCAGGACGGAAAACTTATTCAATCTATTTCTGAGGATTTCCAAAATATTTTTCTCATAAGATTCAGAAATGCACAAGAGGCAATGTGAATTTCAGAATGCTTCGAAGATATCCTTCGAAGATATATTGATTTAAATTATTGTAATTCAAAAACAAAAATAATGACATGGAGAGTCCTTTGAAATGATCAATACTTATTGATAATCAACACATAATGATCAACATTTTTCGTTCAGGATGTACAAGTCAAATCGAAAGAGAACTCACTCGGGCTGATGATTGACCTTTTCCGCGAAGAAAGCTCCTACACCTGCCGTGCAAGATGCAAAGTAGCTGTTGATGACGAGATCCGTCTCGACGGACACCTCATGGGACTCCAACACGGCAAGCCCCTCGGCATCCACGTACGAGAAGGCGACCATGACCGTCCCATTCACTGGAAAGTCAAAACGACTCGATGAGTCCTCCATAAGAGAAGCGAAGAGAAAGCAAGAGGGAATCCGTCTCACGAGTCACGTAGCTCTGAACGGCGATGACATTCGGAACCTGCAGCTCTGCCTCCACATATTGCCACCGGTCCAAGCGTAGAGACGCCACCTGCCTCCCACACCCACATCCACTCAGTGCCATTCATCACCACATATTAATTGATGATTGCCACTGTTCACTTGGTTTCCTACGAAACCTCTACACTGAACTAACTCCCTTCACCTTGTATTCCTTTGAAATTTACCTTTGCCCTTACCTCTTTCTGGGGTAAGAGCAAAGGGGATTCATCTGTTCTGAAACACCATTGAGATAAACTCCTCGCAATTTCACGAAACTCCAAGTGACCGCTGCGCCGTTCCGCTCTGAACGAAAGAAGAACGACATTCAAGTCCATCAATTTCCCTTCGTTGGAATCGTGTTCGGGAAATTCCCGTTGGAATATCCGAACCTGGAGACTCAGCAGCAGGCACAGGCGATTGCATTTTGACTTGAAAAACCAGATGCAATAGGTGTTGCCTAATAATCTGTTGGCTTTCCTTCATGAATCCATTGAATATATTATTCTTGCGAATGTATTATTCTTGCGAATGTATTATTCTTGCGAATGTATTATTCTTGCGAATGTATTATTCTTGCGAATGTATTATTCTTGCGAATGTATTATTCTTGCGAATGTATTATTCTTGTGAA